GATACACTATCAATCCCATCTTTCAATCCATGAAAGGATCACACATAAGTACAGACAACTCTCACAAACATAACAAAATTACACACGAGTATAAATGGCTCACAGAAGTATAGATAGTTGCCGGTTGATCTACGTATCACAGATACAATGCTTATGCATAATGATCCCTTGGCAAAAAGGCAAAGTCAAAGAGTCAAGTCGGGAGTATAGAGCGTGGCCAAACAATGCACTCTATATTTCCCCAAGATCAATCTGATCTTCTCTTATCTCCTAAGCCCCCGGTGTATCTCCGTACCATCCACACACATATCTCGTCATTGAGTGACACCACCAACTCTTTAACAACAATATATTTGGTAGGAACAAACTCTACATCATACAGACCATATCACTATAGACATAATACCCTATTTTTAGATGACCAACATCTCTGACTTAGACTCAGCACATAGCACAAACATCTTATAGACATGATTTCCACTAACTACCATGATTATGAATGCATTAACTATTCATAACGTTTCTTTATACCATTCTTATTAAGCTTTATTTATTTGTCATCAATTTCAAAAATTTGACAGAGTCTCCTTTGTAATTTGTACATTTCCCAATTTACAAATACATTCAAATCAAATTTATAAACACATTTTCCTGCATCAAACAAGAACAATAAAAATTTGCCGAGAGTCGGACACTCTCGGACTTAGCACACATTGCGATCCATCAAATTTTCTAAACTCTTGTTATTCTAATCTTGTGTCCCAAAATATCTCATTACACTATCATTCTCACATCATACATACTCATAAAATAAATAATAGGTACAGAACTAAAGTTTTGTTTATACTTCTCTAGGAAGAAAAATATATCATAAGCATTAGAAAAATGTAACTTTGGAAAAATTCTTTGCCATCTAACCTAACTCCAAATTCTATGAAATTTTCCAGTCCAAAATACATATATTCTAGGATTATAATAAAAATTATAACTCAAAATTTAAAGATTTCTAAGTCATTCAAAACTTTCCTCCCTTTTTATACATTTTGAAGATTCCATTATCAGAGCATTACTCAAAGATATATGTTTATAAATAAATTAATGCTCATAAAATTATGAAAATAAATATGCTTAACATATATCTACAATCACAACTATGATAAAAATTTCATCTCAAAAAAACTTTAATTTCAATTTTATATGATTTTTCAAAGTTGCTGAGCGGACATAACAATTCTGTTTCACCCAACTCAAAACCTATTTACTTCCAAGATTTTTCATCGAAAATTCACTGCTCAGAAAATTTTGAAATAAATCACACACGAAATAGACATATAAAGGAACATGTAATCAAAATTTCAGAATTAAATACCAAGTAAATATTTTTACATAATTTCCCAAAGATTCAATTCACATGCAGACTTTTGTCCAACAACATCTCTCAACACATATTTCATCATCTTCCTCTATAAAAATCCAATTTAAGTGATTTTTATGGCTAACTCTAGGTTTTAACATCCAAGGAATCCATTTCTAAAGTCTAAAATATGAAAGGAGCATTGTAGAGTATCTAAATATACTAGAATAGCCATACGAAATTTTTATAAAACATTTTAATTTGGTTCCAATTAATGTAAAAGTGAGATAAATGATGGTTTAGCCTAGGGTTGATGACAAGAAGACTCTCCTTACCTCAAATGAAGCTTTCAAACAAGAAAATAGAGATCCTTAGTTCAAGAAAAGTTTGTCTCCTATAAGCATCAAAATGACCATATATTTGAGATTAAGAAGATTTTAGGAGATAATATTGAAATCCAATGCTTTAATTTCATGGATCTTACTCTTAATTGCAAAAAGGATGAACCAAGATGGTGTGGGCAAGCAAAATCAAGCTTCTCTTCTTCCTCCCGTGCTCCCAAAATGACTTCCGTAAGTGAGAAAGAAAATTGGTCTTTCTCTTCTTTAAATTTAACCTTCTTTCCAAAATTACCCTCACTTACTTTTTCACTTACCAATTAAATCCTTTCATCAATGGGAAATTATATTACTAATTTTGCTTAATGATATTACTCTTATTATTATTATTACTTCATTTTAAACTCAATTCTAAATTTATCTATTTCACTCTATTAAAAATTTCATAATATATATATATATATATATATATATATATATATATTATTTATTAATATCTTTAAAAATTATCAAGTCTTAAAATAACTCATAATACCATTTTATTAAAGTTAATGACAAAATATTTTATTATATTAATGATATATTTTTGGGAAATATTGGATGTTACAGAAACTACTTTCCACGTCGTTTCAGCTTTAACCTACGTTAAATCACGACATGGAAAGCATATTCTGTAGTAAACTACAAATTAAGTATTAGAAATGTTGAACAAAAACCTTGCTCATTATTCTCTAATTTATCTAATATTATGTTCTGAGAGTGAAGATGGATCTTGAAATACTTGAAACATTAAAGTTGCTGATAATATTATAAAATTGCATCATGTCTAATATAATTTCTTGCTTTTAAACTGAACAATCTTAAAGTTATTGATAATCTTGTAAAATTGCATCTTGTGTATAATTGTTGCTCAAAATCATATTTCAATGAATCATACAAATGTGTTTTCTTAAAATTTTCTTCACTAATATCACGTATCATATTCTCTAAATTATCATTTATCCCTTTTTTAAATTTTGTTGTTGTTGACATAGTTGAGATGTCTAATATTTCTCCATGTTATATCCATATTGTATAACTCATAATAATACTATCGACAAACAAGTGATCATGTATATCCCCAAGTTTATGACGAATTTGATTTAAAACAAAAATGTATGAAATAATATATCCCTTTGATAGGTTTTCCATTTTTACAAACAAATTTTAAAAAATTCATCAACTCCCTTTTCGTACTCTTCACTAATACGACGTGCATTCATCCAACTTCAATCCAAATCTACCTATGTTATAAATTTTTATCACTCCTAGAGATTCAAACACAAATTCATATTTTTAAAAAGCAAAATTAATATACAAACAACAAAAAATGTGGGATCCAAACAAGTAAACTGTAAAAACATAAAAATGTAGTGTATAAACCGTAAATGCACTCAAACGAATAAATGACAAACTACGACAATTCAATTTCAATAACAATCTAGTTGAGACATTCATACAATAACGTGATTGAGATCTCCATAAACAATTTGCATTCAATTTGAACATAAAAGAGGAAACATAAAATACTAACCTCAAATATACAAAAAATATTCTAAAACTTGAATTCAATCGGGGAGAAACATTAACCACCACCAATGGGACATAATGTAGGTGTTTTTGTTGCTCATTGCGGTCAAAATGTACCCTAAGAGAAGCTGAAATGGTCATTGGTGTCTTCCTCACTCAAAAATCTTTGTGCACAAGAGGAAGAAGAAGTCTTTATTAGATTAAAACGCGTCTTTTATGTCAAACCATGTGGGGATGTAAAAGTTGCTTTTTACATCGGTTAGAGGGTCACCCGACGTTAAAGCGGCTTTTATATCGATCATATGGTCCGATATAAAAGTTGTGTCCCTTGTTTAAAAAAGTGTCACTGTAATTATTATTTTAAATCGATTATTTTTTTATTCTATCATAATTGAGTAATGGACAAAACCTATCGAATGATGAAATAGATAAGAAAATATAAAAACAAATTTCTGTCATATCATATATTTTATATATAAAAAATACATATATGTACATAAATTAAAAAACAAAACTTTTCATCGCAGTTTTAGAATCGAGATAAATCATATTATAATAGAGATAAGTAATATTAGACTTAATTAAATAAGAGGAAGCTCAATTCTATTTGGTGAAAATGTTTTACACCTTAAATTATGAAGAGAGAAAAACATGAGAAGTAGAGCCAACGATGAACGTTCAGCACCTAGTGCCAGAGTAATTGATGTGAATGTATACATTAGCTCAAATTTCAAAATTGTTTCCTTGCGCTATTAGACCAAAGGTTATTCTCGTATATACAATTTTTATTTATGTGTATTAACTTTTATTTATCAAGTCTTGATATAGTATCATGAATACAAAGATGTTATAAAAATAAAATGAATAATTAATAAATTTTATATTTTTTAATGTGATATTATTTTATTAATTTGAATTTTAGTATTTTTAGAAAAATTATGTTATAAATAAGGTATTATATAGAAACATATAATATTAATGTTTTTCATTTAATCTTTCCACAACTCACGGTCACCTAAATTGATATAATTGGATCCTGTATTTGAATTTCACAGAAAACTCACTCCAACTTTTCCTTTTAAAGCATTTCAAATAAATTTGGTAATTTCAAGTCCTCTCTCTAAAACTTCAATAGGAAAACCAGCACATACTCATTCATGCATTTCATCAAACAGCTGAACGGCATAAATTATTATCGTGTAATTTCCCCGTACTTTCATGAAATAGCTGACATGCGTTCACAGAGTACATTAAATCATTATAATACAAGATCTCGTCGAATAATTCAAACAATAGTAAATTTACGGTGTAACAAGTATAGAAGGAGTAGATGATTATATAATACTAAATGCTAATACTTCCGAATCAGTTAAGAGCTCATGATTTCCGTGACTCTCTATGTCACAAAAAACTGCTTTAAATTTCATCGCAGAGTTAAATGCCAAACCTCAAACATGCCAAAACAACCTTTAAAAAGTGTGATTAAATCATAAACTTATGGAATGTGTTTCCTTATTTGTTCGTAAATGAAGGTCAAACAATTAACCCAAATACAAGGTATTTCAAAAATTAGAAAGAATAAGGTAAAAAAACTAGAAAGAAAGGTAAAGGATAACAATATTTCAGATTTATATAAATATTTTGTCTAAATATGTTACGACTTTCTAACTCAAATATGAGATTTCTAATAACAAAATAATAGACTGAAACAAGAAAACAAGATATTTACTTGTTTATATCTAGAATTGGAAGGGACATTCTTTGTAAAGAACTATTTGAGAACCGAGTACCCCTCCTTCAATGTTAAGCTCCTCCATCGTCTGGTTACTTAAATCAAAGTATGCCAGTTTCTTATCTTTTTTCTGGAAGAATACGAATTTCTTTCCAATTCCAATGGGACGTTCACTACACGGGAAAGGCCCAACAACAAAGAGATTAGTCCATGATTCTTTCACACCAATTTCACCCAAAACTGATATGTGCATAGTAGCTGTCTTTGCATAACTTGTAATCAAAGTAATGTACTCATTTAACACCACCAATTGTCGCTGCACAGATTTAGCATCAAAGGTATCATCACCAATATCTGAAGGCGTAGGTGTTATGACAAAATTCTCAATTCTTAAGTCAAACGATACCAAACATGCTTCATCATTATTCCTTTCACTTTCAACCCACCAATGACACATTTCCATCTAAATATAGTTCAACACTTGCCCTATGAGCATGACAAAAGGGCATGTCAACGTCAAGTTGCACCATATTATCCGTTTCAAATTCATCATCTGGGGCCACAAATTCTAGGCGTCGAATCACCTTGTAGTCATCTCTAAGAGGGTCATAACCAAACCCAAAGAAAAGAACCACAGCGTCATCGTAGGGAAAAGATTCAATGGGGCTTGAAGGAATGATTTTCAATTCTCCAGTTGCAGGGTTCCACAGCGCAACCATTTTAAACCCTTGATAGATACAAAGAACACCGTTAACACTGCCAGGTTCCATGACATTAATAAAAAGGTCATTCCTTGCAAATGGAGGTGGCCAATCCAATCTAACCCTTTTCTCCAATTTTATCCCAGAAAGCCCATATAACACACTATGTTCTAAATTCTTCAGAACCAGGAGATATGTGTCGTCCACACAACAAGAATTACCATTTGATATGAAATTGTTGCAGTACAATTTCATGAAATCAGGATTTTCAAACAAATGGGACCATGATTTGCACACACAACCAACTTTTGTCAAAGATCTTAGTGACAACTTTGACAGAACCAAGAAAATAAGATCATAGGTTATCCGATCATTTGCAGTAGACACAGATTTCTCCATTCTCAAAAATCGATCTACTGGAATGAGATCAGAGAACAGAAAAATCAATTGGCGGGAAAGTATGAATGAGATAGGAGCAGAAGGGAAGAGTTAAGAGAGAACCAGTTGCGACAATTGTTTCAATTAATTAGTTTTTAAAGGTCAAAATATGTCTAATTTTGGATATAATTTTCGTTACTTTATTTTATTTATTTTTTATTATGTTTTTAAATTAATAAATTCAATTTTCTTATTTTAAAATTTATAAGATTTTAATTTTTATATTTAAATTTAATATTTATCAATACTATAAAAAACTAAATATGTAATTTTAGTTTTTTTCATAAATTTAATATTTAATAATTTTTTATGATTAAAAATTTAAATGTACTTATTTCTAAAAATTTTAGAAATTAATTGATCAAGTCTTATCATGTTTGGATTAAACACTACAAGAAAAATCAAAATTTCCGACGGATAAAATCCGTCGGTAAATATATATACTTGACGGATTATCGACGGTCCTAAATCCGTTGGTAATAGTGTTGTCAGTAAAATTTACCGACGGATTTTGCTAGTCCATCGGTAAATATCCACTAGTACAGAAATCACTTTTAACATCGGTCTTTCCACATCGGTTCTTTAAGAACCGATGTAGAAAGTGGATTCAAGACTTTCTACATCGGTTCCCAGATGAACCGATGTAGAAAACACTTTCTACATCGGTTCCGGATGAACCGATGTAGAAAATACTTTCTACATCGGTTCTCAGATGAACCGATGTAGAAAGTCATTTTATAAAATTAAGAGAACCGTCACTCGGCAAGATTCGAACCCAGGACCTTAGAGTCGAAGGCTCGATACTCCAACCACTAAGCTACTAGGATTTTCTGATAAATGTATATCCATGTAAATATATAAATATAAAATATATAAATACAAATACAAATATATTTATATATTTATATGTTGGATGTGAGAGCGCGCTCGAGAGTGAAAGTGTGTGTCAAGTGGGTTTTCAAAATTTGATGTCAAATTTGTGAGCGAGTCTCTTTATATGAATTTGTAATTTAATGATAGAATATAATCTTTATAATTTATTTATAATAATATAGCATATAATCTTTATACACTACTAGAAAAATGGTTAATAGTGACCGAAATTAGTGACCGAAAAATTCAGTTTAATATATTTATAAAAAAATTAAAATTATTTTAATTACTGAATTGATATTTTAAATTTATATTAATATTTTGGATAATTTAATAGTTAGATATATATTTTAAGTTTATATTAGTTATTTTTATATAAATTGTAAAGATTAAGTAAATTTATTTTAAAATTTAATTAAACATAATAATATAATATACTATTAACCATATTATTAGTTAGAAATTAATTTTAAGTTTTATCATATTTATTTGAAAAATATTTTTTAAAAATTTAAAATAATTAATTAAAATAAAGAAATTTAATTTAATAAATGTGTTAATATTATTAGTTATTAGAAAATTAAATTTATAATAATAATAATTATATAAAATTATAGAATTAATAAATGTTTAGCTTGAGCGAAAATCCCTCGCTCGAGCGAAACGCCCCTGCACAAAATATGATCGGTCATAATTGCATTCGATCGATCATAATTGAACGATATCATAAGCGGTTCCAGGTTAACCGCTATCTAAGTGAGTTTTTAAAGCGGTTCCTGTGTAACAGCTATCTAAAATGTCTTTCGCTTGAGCGACAGTCTTATCGCTCGAGCGAAACGCCCCTGCACAAAATTGGCATTCTCGGGTTGTGTTTCGCTTGAGCGACAATCGTCTCGCTCGAGCGAAACGCCCCTGCACAAAATTATGATCGGTCATAATTGCATTTTGATCGATCATAATTGAACGATATCATAGCGGTTCTAGGTTAACCGCTATCTAAGTGAGCTTTTAAAAGCGGTTCTGTGTAACCGCTATCTAAAATGTCTTTCGCTTGAGCGACAGTCTTCTCGCTCGAGCGAAACGCCCCTGCACAAAATTGGCATTCTCGGGTTGTGTTTCGCTTAAGCGACAATCCTATCCGCTCGAGCGAAACGCCCCCTGCACATATAAAAATATAAATATATAAATATATTAATATATAAATATATCAATATATAAATATATATAAATATATATATATATATATATACAAATATATCAATATATCAATATTATCCCCTCATATATTAATATATCAATATTATCCCTTCATATATCGGTCACTTGAATCGGTCACTAATATCAGTGACCAAGGAAATAGTGATCGATTCCAGTTGGTCACTGATTCTGGTCATCAGATCGGTCACTGATTCGGTCACTAATTCGGTCAATGAATCGGTCACTTGAATCGGTCACTAAAATATATTTTAATTCCTCACATCCAACATATAAAATATATAAATATATTTGTATTTGTATTTATATATTTTATATTTATATATTTTATATTTATATATTTACATGGATATACATTTTTATTTGTATATAAATATAATTTATGTATAAGTTATTATCAGAAAATCCTAATAGCTTAGTGGTTGGAGTATCAGCCTCCGACTCTAAGGTACCTGGGTTCGAATCTTGCCAGGTGACAATTCTCTTAATCTGATAATAAATCAAATTTCTAAAAAATATAAATAATATAATAAATAATAAAAATATAATATAAAAGGGAGAGGAGACCTCTAGATCAATAGATAGGGTAATTGGAGAGGGGTTATGAATAAATAAAATAAATAAAATAAATAAAATATATAAAAATATTAGACTTTCTACATCGGCTCCTTAGGAACCGATGTAGAAAGTGGAAAGTCACACTTTCTACATCGGTTCCTTAGGAACCGATGTAGAAAGTGTGACTTTCTACATCGGCTGTATCTACATCGGTTCTAGAACCGATGTTAAAAGTCCCTGGGAACCGATGTTAAAAGCCTGTTTTGTACTAGTGATCATGAGTAATTACCGACGGATTTTTCGGTGGGTAATTTACCGACGGATATATTCGTCGGTAAATACCCTTTACATTACCGACAGATTTTACTATTCCGTCAGTAAATGTCATAGATACTTACCGACGGATATTTCCGTCGATAAATGTCATAGATAATTACCGATGGATATTTCCGTCGGTAATTACCAATTATGCACAAATCTTACCGACGGATTATCCGTCGGTAAATCCGTCGATAAAACCACCTCTAGTTCCAGAGCAGTTTATTTTTTTTTTTTCATCCCATATAACCTGTAAAATAAGATTCAATCCAGTCCAATTCAATAATATATTCAACAATTCAATTAAACATAAATCTAACTCACCTTAATCATAAGTAAATTCAAATGTACTATAATTTATGCAAAATGAAACATAATGTATAATCCTAAAAAGAGTATCAACATACAAGTAGAATTGAAATATTATTCTATAGATGTTTGTATAACATTTAATAATGAGAATAATCAGGAGAATGATATTCTGGTATGTTGTCGTCCTGTGGTGGGTTATCTTGTTGCTCTTCATTCAATTGTTGTTGTTGGGGTTGTTGTTCATCATCTGCTTCACTATGTTGACGCTGTTAAACAAGAGATTGTGCACTGGGGGTAGAAGATGACCGACAAGGGATTGAAACTCTCTGAATTGGTGCTCTAGTCGTTCATTCTGCTCACTTGTTCGACGTATTTCTTCTTCTTGTACAGACAATCGTTGTCTCAATTGATTAATCTCTTCTAAGTCAACTGAGGAGCTGGATGCTTGAGTTTGATGCTTCAAGCTATCTGAACCACCCTAATAGCCATCAGCAAGTTGTCCAACTCCATACAATCTTCCTTTATTCTTACCTCCAACTGTGTCCACCCAACAATGGGACCATATAACTTCATCATGTGCAGTACCAGCAGGAGTGGACTCAGGTTCGCCAACACAAGATCCAGCAGATGACCTAGCTTGTGAAAGTCTAGTTTCAAATTCCTCCTATTAGTAGAAACAAATCAATTATTAACATGATTATTAACTTTACATAATATACAAAGTTTAACATGAAGGTTCTCACGTGTTTCTTCCTAGATCTTTCATCAACAAATTGACCCGTCTTCCTCCTAATATGAGTCTGTTGGAAGATCTCATCAATAAAAACTGATCTTTCAAGTTCCTTTGCCTACATTACATAAACAATTTGAGATATAAAACCCAATAAATTTTTCAAAATCGTAAATGTATGATATAAAGACTTACCATACGTATGGCATGCTCATGTGTGCTGATAGAGCAACCTGTGTGAAGGCTCCCACCCTTTTCAGATTATTTTTTTGGGCTTGTGCAGATTTGGACCGATACATTGGTGAGGTCCAATGTGCTAGCAAACTGCTCCAAACGTGATCTCCAATCCAGTCTGGTCTTTGACCGAGCAATTCTTGCATCCCTAAACATCTCACTAAGTCTCGTGAGATGCTTTGGAATGAAAATTCTTCTTTATTTGATGTTCATGTTGTGGTCTCCACTGAACCTTCATCTATAAAAGTATAAATTGTTATACACATTATAGAAAAATGACTACAAAACATATATTCAATAATTATAGATATATACATTAATGGAAATCAATAGTAACATTAAACATCCTTCTAATAATTAAGTATGTACAGAAGATTAAGTTACCTTAAAACGTTGAAAAAATGACTCCTTATCACTATTAGGTATCACTCCCCATGTGGCCCAAGGTTGAAGAAATTGTTGTTTAATACTCTTTATTATAGCTTGTGATGCAACTCTGGATGGAAGAAACCTAATTACAAAGAAAAATTAATACAAGTTACATATGTGCTGAAAATGACTAAAACTTAGTTATAATAAATAAATTGGAGAATTTAAATTAAATATTACCCTCGACTATAAGGTTCAATTATCGGTCGATCATGTATAGCAGGAACATCTTCTTCAATCTCTGAATCAACATCTACAGTAGGTGAGTGACCTTGAGAGGAGGAATGTCTTG